AAAAAGCACCCATAATTACAACCTCATTAACAAGTGAAGTACTAACCTTACTGTAGGGTTACTCAGTTTCATCTGGCAGTCTCTAACAAATTCCTAATAAAAGCCTCCTCTCCCCCATATTAGCTAGCAGAAACCTGAATAGATTGAATCTCCCTGCTGTTATTTTTATATCCTCAACTTGAACAGGATTAACTCATATTTCACATATCAAACCATTCTTCCCTCTCTCTTTAATACCCTACACCTATTAAATGACCTATAACCCTCTATTTCAAAGAAATAAATTTCTGTCAAGAAAAGTGTATTCATTTAACCAAGTTTCATCAGTTATTCTCATTATATCAAAATCCTCTGTTCCATCCAGTGCTCTAAAGTCAGGTGTTTATTTCTTACACTTCTAGCATTATACTAGTAAAACTTTAGCCTATCATAAAAAATACTTCTGTACTTTTTTTTTATACTCCACCCATCATTTTCTACATTTAGTTTATCCTGGTCTTCAACACTGTCTGCTTATAGTTTAAAGCTACCCTTACAGCTGAGTTGAGAGAACCCTTTCAAAGAATCCAGCCCTTTGGATTGTAAAGTAATTAGATTAAAGCAAACGGTTATTATTAATGAAGTCCAGTCAAATTAGGTCCTTGTTAATACTAATAGTGAAGTACCTCAGGAATCTGCGTTTACACCTTTTTCTTATTAACATTAATAATACTGATAGGGCATAGTTAGTAACGTTATGTGATGAAATTAAACTATTGGGTATTTCTAACTATATTGAGGATGTTAAGGTACTACAGAATGACTTAGAATAATTGGCAAGTTGGACAAATAGCTAGACCTTTAATTATAGTAAGTGCAAGATAATGTATTTGTGTTATTGTAATTTGGATCAGATGCTTAATATAGGTGGGAATCCATTCAACAGTGTGATTGAAAAAAAAAAGGATTGTGGCATAAAAGTGAATAAAAATATGCAAAGAGCATGGGACCACTTGATCCTTTAACGCTGTCCCTACACAACCAGTCATAAGAAATGTGAAAATTTAAATGTACCCTTTATTTTTCAGGAAATCATTGATTTCCATTCTAAAGTGCCAACCTCCACCACTGCCAAAGGCAAATCATTCAATAAGCCAATCACCATATTAGAAAAATAAAACTGTCTTTATTTGAACCTAGTCTGTCCTTTCCAAATCTTAAACCTGTAGCATCTTATTTTACCATCTTCAAAATATAAAACAAAGAAATCAGACTTTTATCCTATCAATTTCCAAAATAATTTTGTAATCAATGAAATCACCTCTTATTTTCTCAAGAACAAATAAGTAAAGAGATCTTAACCATCCCCATAATCATGTTAGTAACACTCCTCTGAACCCTTTCCAATAAGTCAATATTCTTTCTCAGATAAGGAGACCAGAACTGTTCATAGTATTTAAAATGAGGCTTAACTAGTGATTTGTATATAGATAAATAACTTTTTTTAGCTGGTAAATAATTTGTCTATAAGTTATACACCCTATAAAGTATAATTCTATTAGCTCTGCTACTTGCAACAGATTATACTTAAGTTATAGAGCATTGAGTGACTTGTGGGACTTATGAATATGATAAAGTAATGTAATGGTACATAAACCATTTACCATATTTGAGCAGCAGCACGTTTTACATACATTTAAGAAGTAAAGATTTCTAACACCAGTTATTTAAAACAGATTTTTTCTGGTAAGTACAAAATCTGAGGATTTGGTAACTAGACTGCAGTTTAAGTAACAAAACTTAATTGTACTGAAAAAACAAATCCATTAAGTTTTGGATTAAGGTTTATCAAATACAAAGTAGGCGATTCAGGGTGAATTTAATTATTTATTTATTATGTTTTGCTTGAAATAACCTATTATTACTCATATGTGAAAAAATACTTAGAATATATCAAATTATATCTATGATTCAGTATGTGCTAGTAGTAGTATATTTACGGTTACAACCTGTGCAACAGTTCATATTGCATGAACTGCTACAAATCTGTCATTCTCATAGGGCCTTAACGTTAATCACAAAGAGAGAGAAAAAAAGCTAGGTATAAAATACCTGCACCCTTGGCCTTGTCCCAAACAACGATTTCAAGATCTTTCCGTTCCTGCCTCACTAAACTGGCTGTTAATGCACCAGTAACACCACTTCCTACGATTAACAATCGTGGCATCCTTATCATTTTTTTCTTGATAGATCTAGTTGTAAGTGTAAATATTCTGAAATTACATAAATATGAAAATGATACTTTCTATTTTCCAATCACTACTTTTGATTCAACACACTTAAACTCGAACAGTAAAAGAGTTAAGCTATTTCCCAGAATCTCTTCGGTATTCGGTACATTCAACTCCAAAAAAGTATGACGTAATTGACAGGTTAATTATAAATCGGCTGAAAAAAATAGAATATATTTAAAAGAAAATCAGGTAGTATAGGGTATACGCTATAATATTAAAAATGTTTTTACTATATCCATCATTCTATATGAACATAAGTATTGTCGTTTGCTGACCTGAAATTGGCACAACGAATAGTTCCGAAGGCGCGTACAAAACATTTGTTGTTAAAGCACGTTTTGCTGTCCAAGATCAACCGAGCTAAGCATATGTAAAATAGTCTGTTAAAAAATGCGATTGAAATAATATCATTCTACAAGATAACATGTAATATAAATCTAATAAAAAACACCTGAGGTGCGAAAAAAAAGATGAGACCAGAAAAGGATCGAGCGTCCGACTTAAAGGAAGGAAATCAAACTTGGCGGCCAAACTGATAACTACACTTATAACATTGATAAGAATTTTACAGCAAATATTCATTCATTGGTTAGCTAAGCCGTGTATTTTGTTTTACCTATCATCACGCCCCAAGTTGAACAAAAAACGCGGCTTGGTTATCTAATGAATGACTATTTGCTGCAAAATTCTTGTCAATACTATAAGTGTAGCTACCAGTTTGGCCGCCAATTTTGATTTCATTCCTTTAAGTCGCACGCTCAATCCTTTTTGGCCGTACCTTTATTTTTTTTATATACTTGAGGTGTTTTTGATTATATATCATGACTTTTTGTCAATACACACCAAAAAAACAAGAGCAACTAAAAATGTGACACTCGATAATAACCAACGTAAGATTTAGGATCACAACCCTATTATTCGGAACAGACCTATAATTTACAGAACCGATCAGATTATTTAATATTAATGGTGGTAGTTTTCTCTCTAAAACAATGATAATTAATAATTTCCTTTGTAATAACGGCATGGAAACTAGATTAAAAGTTTCTTGTCATCACCCACATGTACTCGGTACAGCCGTATCAAGCATCATTATTTACGCTATTTGCTTAAGATAGCATGTGATGCTAAACGCTCTTTAATTAGGAGAATTTCATAAAATTTAGCAAATATATGTGCTTAAAAGTTGGCAATGAATAATAACCGTCCACCGATATGATTCTTTTGAAAACTTAATCTAGAAACTGCTAATCTAGTTTATTTGGTCTAACCAGTACTTATGTATCTTGCATGTGCTTTCACCATATAGTTTTGCTGCTCTAAATCAGCTGTCTTTAATTCGAACGACAAGAACTAAAAATGTCCACCTTTACCTTTAGGTAAAACTGTATTAAACATATTATACCTATAGCTCACATAACTTTCTGCTTCGGCGTGCGGAAAATTTTTCGTCAAATTTGAGCGGTTTTTGTTGAATAACTTTGCACATGTGGCTTATATTTACACCAAATGAGATTCCTAATTGTTGGTTGTGAAGATCTATCAATGTACCAAATTAGAATAAAAAACAGAAAAACATGAGAGTTAAGTATGTTTTCCTATCAAATAAAGTTTCCATTCATTGGGTGCGAAGAAAAAATAAAATAGGAAGAAATTCAATCAAAATTTGATATTTTATAGTTTGTATAATTCTTAATGGATTGCCTAGAAATTTGGTATATGAAGGAACAAGTAGAGCACATCCACTGAAAATATATGAGTATTTCGATTACCACCATCCGAGCTACGAAAAGTGGAAAATTGTTAAACTATCACTCCTGTTTAATAACACACAGTGTGTCCTGAAGATGGTTTTGTCCGCATGACACACTACCATTTGTTTTGATCTTCCTTTTTTTCGTTTTATGTGTGTGGGAACAAAATAATTTTCCACATGTATCAATAAAAACACGTTAATTAACTAAAGTACCTATTTTAAATAAACAAAACATTTTTTAATTAGCTTATTATTATCACAATACAATAATAAAATTCATCCTCGATAAATGTTTAAGGTATATGTATTGTGTTTACTAAATAAAACCTTTTTATTTATCTGTGTAGTATGCAGATATATCATACGTTTTCTTCATTCTTATTTTAATCCTCTATTACACATTGTAACATACAGGTAATAAATATATTTTTGTTGCCTCATACACATATAAGTACTTACAATTATGCAGATATATTTTGTTGCTTAATACACATATTAGTAATTCAATTATGAGATATATTTTTGCTGCTTAATACACATATAAGTACTTCAATTATGTAGATATATTTTTGCTGCTTAATACACATATAAGTACTTCAATTATGAAGATATATTTTTGTTGCTTAGTACACATATGTACTTCAATTATATAGTTGAATGCTCTTACTTCCAGGTAACAGTTAAAATAAAACTTGGAATTGTTTCTGTTGTTTCCTCAATTGAACAATGTGACTTCTTGATAAGGTACCCACTTGAAACCTCCCAAAATATATTTCACAGAAGCATTTTTGCAACATATACCTATTTAAGTAAGAAATTCAAAGAAAGCATTTTCTGCTATATTTTAAAACAGCATATACACTTAAACGAAATATTTTGAAAAATATTATATTAACCCTCTATCAAACGCATATGGATTAACAGATTTGGAATACGTCCGTTCTAGATAATGCAGAGAAAAGAAATTTATTTGAGTGCACGTGCTTAGGGGAGCTACTGCACAAGGAGGTAGTGTCGCTCTCCTATTGGTGAAGGGTTATGTCACATGATGAGGTATCATGCACCAGCCCAGTTCAAGTTAAAATCGTGTTTCTTAGGTGAGAGGTAGCTCAAGGCTAGTGACATGCAAATTTTATAGACAGATGCACGAAGAAATCAAGCTATTCTGTGTGAAGAGATGAGATATCGTTTCAGGTATTGTATCACGTTACTGAGTCGAATAGGTAACATTAGAATTGCAGAAAATGACTAACGCTATCTATACGACTGCACATTCCCATTCAAATATAAGGACAGTTGTAGCCTCGAAACATCACTTGACCTACCACTTCAGGACACTGTTGCCACCCTTTATAAATAAGGTGCAGTTTTATAGCCACACATTACACGGGCAGAGTAGATGCTATTTCCAAGAGATGACTAAAGACAAAAGCAGCTATAACAAAATCAATTATATGATAACTTCTACTAATAATTACAATTTACAACTCACAAATAAATGTGTAACAACTTTTTTGACCACGTGCTATGGGCCCCTTCAGAGAACAATGAAACACTTCAGATATAAGGTGAAATTATGAGAGGTAATGCAAGAGGATGGTAAGAAGGAGACAAAGTCATGAAAATTGGGCACTAGAAAGGGAAATTAAGGAATCATCCCCAAGCTGTTAAAAGATATTCTAAAGACTGGAAATCAACGAAGGGAAATTAAGAGTAGCTGTAAGCCAGGACAAAAGAGTCAAGCAGTTGCTGTCCATTCAACAAAATTTCAACATACCTGCTAAATAATGCCAATGAAGAGCTTAGAAAGCTGAGGATGTTTTTCCATGGATAAGGCTGTTTCTAGAATAAACCTTAGTGAGGAATATAACCAGTCAAAATCATTGAAAGCCTGGTCATGTTTAAATTGGGGAAAGGAAAGTCAGCTAAATGCGCAGGAAGGAATCCACAACACATCGAAAAATGGCTGTCATGTCCTATACAGATAGTAGCCACAATAGACATAGGTCCCTTGTAAAGAAAATCGTCACTGTCATAGGATGAAGTGGAAGCTATTATCACTTGAGAATTCAAAATGGTGAGTAATCAACAGAAGTTTTTAAGTGGTTATGTGAAACACTAAAACATGTAAATTTGAATAAAAATTAACTCTGTTGTAAGCTATTCAAATCTCAAATAATTTTTTCTGGAATGGTTTGTTTTCTTCTTTGGTCCATAATTCTTCTTCTGCTTTATTCCTCCACACTTTGTTTCTCTGCTACGTGACAGTACGTTCTCCTAGTTAATGCTTATCTTCACGATCTTTGTTGAGCGCCTTTCTTTGCCCAAAGGTCTTTGAGAGCGTTTCTGACCCACTGTAGACCTGGACCTAGGCAACCCGGCACCAGTTCTCATTCTATTCTTTGGTTCTTCATCTTTCTCATTCTTACTCTTCTGTTTCTGCTCCTAGGCCTGCTGAATCCACGTCTCCCCTTCCCATTCAAGCTCCACAGCCTTGTTCATTTAATTCATATTATCTCACTTTATGACTTATTGGGGCTGGATCTGCAAGAGCCTGTCTGTCTCTATTTACAAGCCTTTGGTCTCCATTTTTGGTTGATAGATGGATTCTTCAGATTCTCACCCACAGCCTATTTCTCCACTTTTCTTCTCCTCTTTCTCTTTCACCTTTTTCCAGCTTCCTTTCTTATTCCCCTCAATCTTATTCATCTTCAGCATCTTCAGAATGCAGTCTCGGATCTCTTGGCATAGAACACCCCTACTCTGGGTTATTACTCTCTTCTCCTTGTGGTCCCCAACAAGACTGGGAATTGTAGTCCAGTTAGCAATCTGTCATCTCTCAACTGGTTTCTTGTCTTCCCTCAGTTCCATATGGAGGTGTATGTTCGATTCTCTCTGGTGGTTCTTTTCACCTAGTCTGTGGATGGTCAGGGTCGATATTTGGGATGCCTTTTTACACATCCCAATCACCCCATTCTCCAGACGCTTTCTTCATTTTATTCATCAAAATCGAGTCTCTTAGTCCTGTACTCTTCCATTTGGCATTGTTTCTGCTCCTTATGTATTCATTTGAGTCATGAGGGCATTTTTCCGCCATGTTCACTGGCTGGGTCTGTGGTTCCATTATTATTTCTCACCTTTGTGCTCAATTTGACCCAGATTGTCTTCTTTGTCTGATTTAGGCTGTTTGATGTTACTTGGTGTATACGTCTCCTTTTCTGAGTTATCATAATCAGTTGTTTCTACCTTGGGACACCCTCTTCATTCAGAGACCTCTTACATTCTCTCATTACAGGATGGGTCTGCCAACTCCTCTGGTTGGTGAGTTCTTCCCTGGATATTGATGCTTGTATGATCTTTCACATTTTGTCACATCAGATTTGTCATCTGTCTCACTTTCACTGACCATTGGACAAGATCCTTCAGGCAGGCATATAAATGACTCTGCTCATGTTCATGTCTCATTATCTTCATCATCTGACTGTTTCATCTTTTGTGAGATTTTGAGAAAGGTGAGTATATTCTCTTCTCTTTTATAAGATCCAACCAGGTGACTGGTGTTGCCTTCCAGGGTATAATTATTTCTCAAAATCTGCACTGGGACAGAGGTAATGGAAAGTGTTCAACTCACTTGCCCTGGTTCTATCAGTACCCATTGTCAAAAGTCGAGACGGGATGTTCTGCAAGACCACCAGAGGTATCCTGGTAATATTAAAATTACTCAGTTGCTGGATACAGAGTATACCTTCTATGTACTATCATGGAAGTAGTTGGGTTTGGGGGTCACCCCTTGCAC